TTTTTTTTTTTATTTTTTATTTCTTATTTTTTTTGTTTTTTTTTTTGGTGTGAATAGCATTTAAATTTTTACTTTTCACTTCTTTCACTGAAAAAGCAATTTTGAGTCTTCCCAGCCTCATTTTCTAAACCTTAGTTTTTGATTACTCTCAGTTCTTCTTTATTTCTACTCTTTTTTTAAGCTATAGTTTTCTGTTATATTTCTTTCCTTTCGTTCCTAAATTTTTTTTCTTTTACTAGTAAAAGAACGAAGCAAACAAGCATTTTTGTTGAGCAAACGTATGTGTTTGTTTTCTTCCAGTCTGCTTAATATCGTCAAACTGAAAGTTTCATATCAGAATACAGTAACTCCGCCTTAGTTTTTTTTTTTCCTTTTTAAAATTAGCTGATGTCATCTATAGACTGGTTGTATTTGGTTATATAGATTGTTGGTCATTTGCTATACAGAACTGGCTGGTGTATGGTTGTTAAAGTTTTGGGAAACTTCAAACTTCTAGTGTTGGTTAGCCAGCTGTAAACATACGACAACAGCCTGTTGTCACTTTTTCATTCTAATAAGTAATCGCCAGCGATTTAAACTCTTTTTTCAGCTTTCAAGAACTTTTTTTTCAAGGCCATTGTTTGCTGATCATAATCCAATATCATTTCATTTACTATTGATTAGCTCAAACAGATTGATCTTTTGTTCCATTGTTTTGAGACAAAAATCTAATGAATAAACAAATCATGTGTCAATGATTAAATGCGTCAGTAATTTCATTTGGGTAGCTGAGAAAAGAATCTCTAATTAGCAAATTAAAAATGCAAGATAGCTGCTTTAAAAAGTGGGAAATATGGCTATCAGTTTTTTGTTAACTTAATCGCCTAGGCACATTATATCTTCCACCGCTGATGCTTAACCGTTCGTTTTTTGATTAATTACAGTATTAAATAAATTTGTTTTAATGCGAAAGGTTTTCTACTTTTTTAAATTTTTTTAATAGTAATTTTTTTGAACAGAAATTGACAAAAGGTTGATCAAAGTAACTTTTTGCAAATTAATGCATCATTATCAATCTGTTTGCAAACACCACTGAAATGTTCTGCTCGTTTAAGAAAATTGAAATTAAACAGACAAGAATAAATCAGTTTTACGCTACAAAAAAGCTTTTTCTTTTAACAAACTGACTCTCTGGAAACCTGAAGTTTCTATGTTAGCTTAAGAATAATAATCAAGTTTGGATAATTTAGCTCTCTGTAAGTTAAGCGCAACTGTTAGTAAAAAATGAGAGTAAAATATTTTAAGGTTTATTTATGTGAAAATCGCAGTTATTTGTCACCATTTGTTATTCGATATAAAGGATAATTTAAAATGCTCTTTGGTATTATAGACAGTTAATGTTTAATTGGCTCAGCACTTACAGTACGATAGCGGTAAGCTGCTGACAACCGCTTTTTTCCAACACCACTTGACAGCAGTATATTTGTTACAGCGAAATAATCTATAGGCTTTTGCAAACTTTCAATGGTTTTCTATTTCCGCAAATAATTCCTACAAAAATGCTCTCTTTAACACCAGTTTTGGCTGCCAACTACTGCAAAACTTTTGATGGATATACCAAAAAATGTCATGACATAATAGACCTTTATTATCATGCTTCTTAAAAAACGAAATTTTGCATAAAATAAATAGCGCTATCTATCGTCAAAAAAAATTATAACCTTTGGTATTTCCAATAAAAAAATACTTTCTGTAAATTGCTTTTTTTGATTTATTTCTTCAACTAGAAATCTTTTACTTTATATTTTCAAGAAAAAAATAGGTAAAAATGCTGTTTCTAACATTAGTTTAGGCTGTCAATATTAAGTTGAATATAATATTAATTTTTATAAACAACATTTCTAATATACTTTTTGCCGTAGAATCAAAAATATAATGATGATTACACTTTATTATTTATGCAAACTTAAGAGGATAAAGAGATTTTGTCAAGAAATCTAATTGGACAGACTTTGACTTTATAATTCTCAATTTCTCAACTAATTCAAAGAAAAGTGCAGACATTTTAAAAAGTTTGAAAACAGAAAATATTGTGCAGCAAAGAGATCACTATGAGCAGAATCCGTTTCGCAATTCGGAATTCTCAAATTATATTTTATTTTTTTATATTAATACCTGATAATATGTAACGTTTATTTTCTTGTTATTATTTTTTGCTAGAACAGTTTTTAAGATACTTATTTTACTAGCCTTACAGTTTGACACAAATAAATTATAATTGCTAAACTCAGCCTGAAAGATTTGGGCGAACAAATCCAAAATATTTCGTACTTTTTGCTGTAAAACAACTAAATTGTCTTTTTTAGTGGTTTTGTGAATACCGATTAAGTACGACCACTGTTTTCGCAGAATGAGCTGAACGTTAAAATTAATGAATGTTTTCTTTAACTTAAAACTTTATAAGGTTTTTTGGCTGTAAAAATTAGCCAGTTATTTCTATAATAAGAAGGAAACGTACTGCACAGTTTTTGTTGTTTTTTTTTGAAAGAAAAAACTCTATTTTTTGCATAAATTAAAAAAAAATGGGGTTTTAAAATATTAGGTTTCATACAATTTCTGAATAAAAACACGATTTACTTTTTTGTTTATTTTTGATGTTTACTTTAAGATAAAGACTATCAGCAAAAAGTTGCCTTGTAGCTGGTGCTTTTTGAAATAAAAATTATACAGTAAACAAATACTTAGTATTTTTTATTAGAGAACAAGAAGATAACTACATTCCTTTCTTTTTTGTCACCAGCGTTGTGGCTATCTTATTACTATCAACTAATATAACAGTTAGTTTGTCAGTTTCCTTGACTTAGAACCAAACTCAATTTGTAATTTAATTCTGTTCCGTACATCGGTTTTGTAACATTTATCATTGAAACCATAAATATGAAAGACGTTAAAAGTCAACAAAAAAAAACATTGAAAATTTGAGAATTATAGCAGCTAAAGCAATCAAAATATTGATGTTCTAGATGTTGCGAGGTCTATTCCTGTTGATCATATCTGCTTTGTTAGTCGCTGGACACGCCATGATTCGAAATGGTATAGCGAAGACGAAGCTTATTGAGGAATATCCGAGGGTAATTCTTGTTTGAACAGTAGATTCAATTATTTATTAATCTAAGGCTTAAAACTTTCTTTAATCAATTTTAGACAGTTTTAGCTCACTATTACAGTATGCTTTTCACTAAGCAACAACACTCAGTAAACGAAAATGATTGAGTTAAGTCCTGACAAATTCTAAAAAGCAGACTTTGTATGGTTTTTCAGAATTAAATACGACAGACCTCTACTGATGCTTACAAATGCAGTCAGAATTTTTCCAATAAAATGTTGTTTAGATATCTGATTAGTTCGTTAAACGTCTCAACAAGTTTTCTCAGTTTTGATTTTTTAGGTAAATTCAGTGTGAAAATTTGAGCAACATTA